AAAAAAACACTAAAGCTTTCTTCTTGCATATATGTATTTTAATCAATGGAGTTGCAGAAACAACAATTTTAGCCTTAAAACGTTTGTTTGGGCAAATAAGTAAGGAAACTACTCATTGGTTCATTGCCGCCGAAAAAAATCATAATTGTTTTTTTTTTATTATTTTGGAAAGTTTTCAAATAGAATGTTCATATAAGAGGCAATGGAGGTTGGCATCAATTACAACATATCTGTGAAGTTTCAAGAGTGTGCCATATAAAAAAATGCAAATGTGCAAATATAAAAAAATGCCAGCATGCATAATATCTGTCGCAGCCATTTTGTAATTTTTTTTTAATTTAACGTTTTTTGTAAATTCTACACTTTTTTTATGAAAAATTTAACAACTCGTGAAATGTGTTCATATACAATATTTATACCGATTCTATAGCAATTTGTTTGTTAGATATCAATTTCCCCCAAGAAACTCTACATTACCTAATAGTCCCAAGATCACAGAGCCTACACGGTTAGTGACGTCATAAATTGGAGCTTAAAGGTAAGGTAAAGTGGTATAATAGCCGAGATCAAACATTTTTTTACATTTCCAATTTGTTAAACTAATTTTTGTTACGGGAAAGTTACCCGGGTCGCGTGGACCGATTTTTGATCGAACTTTCGGTTCGACCTCCAAATTAATAGAATGGCTTTACCTCACTATAGTCCGTCCAGTAGTAGAGAGAGTATGTATCCAGAGGCTTATAGCTAAAAACGTTGCAAAAACAGCCGTTTCACGTCCTAACAAACTCCAAAATTTGGCTCTAATCTCGGTTACAGGTTCAATGTCAAGGTGTTCAACCGCGAGTTTAGAGTGGCTCCTGGATTAATAAGAGGAAACAACACAAAGGTATTTTAACCAAATACCAGGTCTAGAACTTTGCGAGTTCTCCGACGCTAAAGGAAATTCCAGGTCAAAATTTCAGACCGAGAAGTCTGCTCAGATGGTTTATCTAAATTGCATCCTAGATATTACTGGTACACAGAAGGATGAAAAAGGAGGGCAGAGCGTGTGTCTTTGAACCTGGCAACAAACTTTCTATTACAATGGGTATTCCGTCCACGGCTATTCAGGCCGAGGTACTAACAATCTTTTCAACTCGCAGCCAGGCAGACATAAGGGCCCCCCTATCCATTAGCACGATCACCTCTACGTTCATCAAGGAGTTCTTTGACACTATCTAACTTTTGGCGGCAAGTGTTACTATGCTTGGTAGCAGGACATTGCGGGAGCGAAGGTAATGAGCTCGCCGACGAATTCGCCAAGGAAGTCTACTCGGCTGTACTTGTGGGACTGCAGCCATTGTATGTACTCAGTTGATCCTCCTCAAGGCTTGTAATCGAAGCGTGGGGTAACTCAGAATGCAATAAGTAC